AGTCTCCGCCTGATCGAGTCCCGACATTGAACTAAGCTTTCTACCAGAATGGGGTATCTTCTGGAATAAAACCTGACCACCTCTAGCCAGCTTGGATCCTAATGCACGGTTATGAGACAGTAAAAGGTGTTTCTTCCCTAAGCCCTCCTGCACTGCTGGTGGAAATGTAAACTGGTGCAGCCACTATGGAGAACAGTATGGAGAGTCCCTTAAAAACTAAAAATAGAGTTACCATATGATCCAGCAACCCCACTCCTGGGCAGGTATCCAGAGGGAACTCTAATCTGAGAAGACACCTGCTCTGCAGTGTTCATAGCAGCACTATGTACAACAGCCAAGACACGGAAACAACCTAAATGTCCATCGACAGATGACTGGATAAAGAAGCTGTGGTATATTTATACAATGGAATATGACTCAGCCATAAAAAAGAATAAGATCTTGCCATTTGCAGCAACATGGATGGAGCTGGAGGCTGTCAAACTAAGTGAAATAAGCCAGAAAAAGAAAGAAAAATACCAGATGATATCAGGTATATGTGGAATCTTAAAAAAAATGACACAAATGAACTTATTTACAAAACAGAAACAGATTCACAGACATAGAAAACAGACATAATTATCAAAGGGGGAAAGTAGGGAGTGACAAACCAGGAATTCAGGATTAACATATACAACCTTCAATATATGAAAGAGGTAAACAACAAGGTCCTACTGTAAAACACGGGGAACTACATTCAATCCCTTGTAATGGCCTATAATGAGAAGAAATACATATATATGTCTTTATGCATAACTGATTCACCATGCTGCACACCGGAAATTAATACAGCATTGTAAACCGACTAAACTTCAATAAAAGAAAGAAGCTTCCTCCCTAAAAATCCAAACTTTTGCCCAATAACAAAATCAGAAGAAATCAGACTGACTCTTTAAAGTGATCCCTGGCTTCGTGAGCGCCTCAGTATCACACCAACTGCTGAGCTGCTGACAGGCAGGATTTCACAGAAATCAGTGGGTCCAGGTAGCTCCGGGGGTCCCTACGTCAAGCACTTCTAGGCTACAAATTACGGGCGACATTTCTAGACGCAGATTGACAGCTGGAGCCAGGGCAGCCTTCTCCTCACCTTTGGAATATGATTAGGGAGCAAATTAGATTAGCCTACTCAACTTTTCTCATCTCCACTAAAAAAAAAAAAAAAAAAAGCACATCCTAAGAATTCTGTTGCCACACTGACGCATGCTCAGGAGACTGGCACGTGCTTACTCTAACGAGCCTGTTTGGGGCTCGTTACTGACGTTTACACTCTGCACTTTTAGGAACCTATATATCCAGGCCCCCAGACGGGATAAAAATACTGTTGTGATAAAATTCCATAGACGTTTGTTGATAATGGAGTCAGTTCTAGATTCTCTCTCTGTAAAACCTCAGACACCAATCTTGCACTAGAGGACTTCAGAGTCCACTTCTGTTTTCTACGAGTCATTCTCCAACTGTTTCCTTGAAATAACAGCGATTCCAGAAGCTGGGCCAAAATATTGCACATGTAGCATCCACGAATGTCAGACAGCAATAATCGTCACTGGGAAAAAGTTGGAGTTAATGATGGTCCCGTAGGTTTTCTGATACAGATTTTCCTAAACCCTCGGAGCTTGCTCCGCACGTGTGTGTGACAGCGTGTTGGCAGATGACCACGTGGATGAACAGACAGCAAACAGTTGGGGAAACTCGGTCCCCGCCAATCCTGCTGGTTCATCCGCTTGTTCCTTTCCCACGTCCACGTGTGCTCCTGGTGGTGGTTTTAAATCACCAACATGTCACATGTTTCCATTCAGCTTTTCAAGTTTCACAGACAGGTGGGGTGTCTCTACTCCCAGTTCAACTGACTGTTTCAAAATGGGTGTCTTACCTTCACAGGAGGGAACGAGCGCACCGCCACCTACGACTCACCAGCGACGATCTCTTCTGACCGACCGCCTCTCTGCAAAGGCAGTGAGCGAAACAGGCCTGAAGGAGGCGCCGTCCACCCGCGCTCGCTCACCTAGAGCCGCGGCCGGACTTTCTCTGCGAAAGCCCAGCTGGGAGATTGTTCAGGCTTTGTGAGCAGCACGTGTAACTGCCATCCTAGTACAAAAGCAGGCAGAGAAGAGACGTGAATAAATGAGCATTAGGTGTTCCGATAAAGGTTTCACAATTGATACTGAAATCTGAATTTTAGATAACTTTCGTGCCATGAAATATGCTTCTTTTTCTCAACCACTTATAAATATCAAAAAAAAATCACATTTGACCGCCAGGCCATAGTTGGCCAACTTATCCTCGGGTCTAGCTGCTTTAAAATGCATCCTTCCTTATCGTTATGATTCCATTTACGTTAACAACGTAACACATGTCAAAATGACAAATTACAGAAATGGAGACGCCATTCATGGTCGCTAGAAGTGAAGGCTGGAGGTGAAAAGAAGTGGGTGTGACTATTAAAGGACAGCTTCGGGATTCCTGTGGTGGTGGAAATGTTCCGTATCTATGTCAACATCTGGGCTGTGACACTGTAGTATAGCTTTGTAAGATGTCATCCCTGAGAGCAAAGGGGTCATGAGATCTCTCCGTATTGATATTTCTATCAAATGCAAATCTACTATCATCTCAAAATTAAAAGCTTGTTTTAAAAAAATTTAAATAAAATAAAATGCATCCTTGATCATTGGAGGACGGAGTACCTGACTCCCTCATCACACCTTTACCTAGATCACATCTACTGAATTGGCTTTGCCGAGTTTCCATCAAACTACACAAATGGATGTGTAGAAATAGTAGGTGAACGTCACAACTGAGTTTACTGAGAGATGCCATGCAGAGCGTCACACAGTGCCATTTGATGGGGGGGGGGATCTCTCTGGAGTCCCGACCAGAGGAATGGTTTACTCCTGGGCAAGTGTTTTATCACGGAGAACACTGATAGTGTTCCCTCTTTACTTTAACTGTGGGAAAGCTCACTGGCCAATTTGTTCAGAAAAGAGGGAAAAGGGGACACTCATCTACAAAACAGAAACAGACTTGTAGACATAGTAAACAATTTTGTGGTTCCCAGGGGAAAGGGGTGGGAAGGGATAAATCTGGAAGTTTGAGATATACAAAGGTTAACCACTACATATATAAATAGATTAAAAAAACGAATTTCTTCTTCCTGAGTTCAATCCCCAGAACCTCCACTAAAAAAAATGAAAACAAACAAACAAACAAAAACAGGATGTTGATAGGCAAAGGCTTGCTGGGAAGATTTTGTGAGTGTCTGTAAGCTTCTAGAACACTTCCCATGCACGCTTCCTCTTCCCTCCCCTCCGGTCGGGCACTTCTTAAAGCCTTTCTCAGTGTCTCCTCCTACCCTCCCTCCCCCCTTTCCTAGGTCTTTCCTATTCTTCTGCCTCATTGATATCAAAACTCAACATTTTGGACTGAGATGGATGAAGAGAAAGTGCCTTTCTGTGGTTGAAGCTGTCAGGACCAGGCTGAAAAGACTAGGAGGAGGTTGGGAGGGAGAGAATCTTTGTTATGGTGGAAACCACACAGAGTAAGTTTCCGCGTGCAGACGAGGCTTGACCGAGGGTGCTTTCCCCTCCTCACTGGGTTGGGCTGCATCTGGTGGCGCGCCAAGTTTCCGATGTCCGGCTTGAGTCCAGCTGTGGCTTTGCTGCTGCCAACAGCCCTGACTTGACCAGGAGGAGGAACGAGGCACGTGCTCTAACTGCATCGCCTTTTAGTTACACATCGAGTGTAAGAAGTACATTTCGATCAGTAGCCAGTCGGTTCAAAAAGTGTTAGTCACACACAGTGCCTTCTGCAAACAAAATGTAATGCTTGCTTGGCAGTATTGTCTGTAATATTTCAGTAAGTGTGTTTGGGCAGATGGTGGGTGAGGGGGGAGTTTTGCCCCCACAGTGTTGAAATTTGGTTCTCGGGGGCAGAAGAATCTCAGCCATTACAATGGTTTATGGCCATAGGGAGGCCACAGTACGTAAACAGACACACAGTATATTTGATGTATTAAAATTTCATGGGGAAAGGGAGCAATTAGGAAAAAAAGTCTCAAAAATCTTGGCAAGGTGGTGCAGGAGGATGTTAATGAAAAAAAGGTTGAGACATACTGTTTCAGTGGACGAGGCTGATGCGAAGTTGTTGGCAGAAAAACTCAGGCTGCTCAGATGAAAGAGATTTTAAGGCCGAACCATTAAAACAATCCCAATCCTGATGCCGACTCGGAGGGGGCCTCGGCGCGTCTGGAAGGCATTGTAATTGGCAGAAGTTTTAAGGCGACCTGTAGGATGGGGTTAAATTAAGCCAGGACTTAGTGAAGTGCCTCCACTGGGCTGTCAGATCATGGCCTGATTCTAAACAGCCTTATCACTGGAAAGGGAGAAATCATTTTTTCAAAGAGAAAAATCTGCTCTGTATTCTTGAATTAAAACTTAAGCCCCATGAATTCTGAATGATTACAAAAGCTACAATATCATGATTGAGATGCCCTAATTCCTCTCATCACACATTCTGTCTGGCCTGTTCAGGCACAGCGTCCCCGCCTTTCTCCTCGCCGCTATCTGTAAATAGGAAAGAATGGATGAGAGATTGTGATCAACTTCTGTTGCAAACGCTCATATTTTCACAAAATGTAGATGGCATTCCGAGAGAAGAGATCGGTGGAAATTTAGTTTATTAAGCCAGGGGACAAAAACAGATGTTGGAAAGAGATTAATATTCTGTTCAAATCACCCCTTGATTTTCTATTTTGAAGGGCACCATCCGATAGCTTGATTTTTATTACAGCGAAGAAAAATAAAACGGCTCCTTTCCATTAATCAAAAGGAACCGTAAAAATGGGTTTCACTAAAAGCTGACTCTGACAAGTCTAAATGGAAAGTTTGATTTTGTGAAGAGATAAAGAATCTCTTTAGAAATATTGCAATCAATTCTGAAAAACTGATTTTTTTTCCTTCCATAGCTTTTCAGCTCCTTGATCGCCCATCCCGTGGCTTCTTTGAGTAATGTCCTTCTGTCCCGCAGTAGAAGATGGACTGTTCAGCTCCACACACAACGGCAGACTCCACTTCCACATACGCCTGAGGCCCAGACTCCAGCAGGCCCCGCTCCACACATCTGGTTATGAGCCAGAGGCCCTGCCCGCGCCCAAGCTCCCCACTGCAGAGGAGGGATGGAGAGCTGCCCTGAATGACACCCCGCCCCAAGCAGCTCTCTGACAGGCCCGGCCCCGAGAAGCAGTGTGGAAAGCCAGATGACAACAACCAAAGGGTCCTGGGGAAATGCTGACCAGCCCAGACCCAGGATCACACCCAAAGCCGACAGAGCGCAGCCCTGGTGCCACCCGTGCTTCGTGGGAACCCTGGACTCCGCACGTGGTCACAGTGCTAGCCACCCTGTCCTTGGACTCTTTAGTCAGGAGAAATAGACAAAAGGGCAGACTTTACTGGGACTCACGCTCCAGCAGGAGGAAGTGAGAACAAGGAACAGGTGTACTTGTGAAGGGGCAAAAGCCACAAAGGGACCAGCAACACCTCCCGGTCAGGGCCATTGCCTTCCCGCTTTTGCACTTCTGAAAAATGGCTTGCTTCTAGGAAAACGAAACTTACCCCTAAAATTCCATTGGTTCCCAAAAGCTCACTCCTGACTGGTCCATTTCTAACACCTCATTTGCATACGGTGCAAACTTAATAGAAACCTAAAGCCCTATAAAAACCTGTGTAAACATACAGGCAGGTTCCAGAGCTTGAAGTGTTAACTCCTCTGTGCCCGCCGGTGCAATAAACCTGCGTTCCCCAACCCTCCGAGTGTCGAGTGTCGCCTGGCCTCTCAGTTTCTGCAGCGCTTGCTCGCTTCCCAGGTGTGCTGCTCCCTGAACCGAGAAAGTGGCGGCGGGGGCGGGGGGGCTGGGTCTGTGCGTGTGTGGCTTAGGTGGTGCGCCCACCCCCTTGGCCGCGCTGTGTGCCGGGACCACGTGCAGGATCTTGCTTTTGCCCCTGCCCCACCCCACCCCCACACTGAAGTGGCAGTTGGTTTGTGACTTTTTCTATCTTCTTGTTCCTAATTGCTCCAACTGCTCATGCAAGCAGTTATCTTCAGTCCCTTAGAGTTTCTTTGTATTTTGTTGCTGGAGGAGCCATTTGTCCAGGTGCGAGCCCTACAGCCCAGGGTCCCAGGTCCCAGCCTGCCTCAAAAGCAGGTTTGCAACCGCAGGGCACTCTTTGGCTCAGCCCGGGGAGCCCGCCCCTGAGGTGGGGTCCTGGGCACTAACCACATGCACTGCTGCCCTTGCTCCTATGTGCTCGCTCCCTCCAGCTTGCTTGGACTGGCAGCTGGGAGGGAAACATCACTGCAGTTACAGCGTCCCAAGTATCGGGGCACAAAGTAAGCCCCCTGCAGATCAAACACCTCGTGGGACGCGTGGCAACAGAAAATTACGGATGGCAGAGTCCGTATCACAAACAGCTTTCCAAGGTGACAGTTCTGCCGGTTCAGACGCAGCTTGATTTCGATGGGCAGGTATGTAAAAGTGCAGAAATGGTTCTTTCTCCTGAATGGGAAAGAAAGCAGGCTTTACAAATATTGTGTAGCTTTGCTAGAGCACTTTCAGAGTCATTAAAAGTTTTGAGAGTAGCAGTATCAGAGCAACCAGGCCTGCAGCAACCACAGCAATGATGAAAGAGTAAGAGACACGTAGCCATCAGTAGTAACAGCCCGGCATCTAGTCGGGGCTGACCTGCGCAGACCGCGGGGGAAGGAGTCTTTCTGGGTTTATGTTTTTATATCTTCTAAACAGAAACCACAGATAGTTTTTTTTTAAATATCTGCATGTATGTGCAATACTTCATAGGGATGTTTGGATCAGAAAAGTCAAACATCCTAAACCTTTAAATGAAGGCTTGGCTGTTAAACAGAAAGAAAATAATTAAAGGGAAAACAGGTTTCCAGAAAAGAGCTAACATCAAAAGCTGACATTTGAGTTCAAAAGGATCCTTTTGGACAAACTCACACACCAAGCCAGGAGGTGAGGTGATTACTCACGACCACGAATGCACCTGGCCGACAGTTGCTAGTGTGAGCACGGAGAATCTGTGTTTTCTGTCAGCAACTTCATACAGTATCAGGGCTCAGAGGGGTCCCCAGTCCAAACTCGTTCTGCTTGCCACACGACAGGCCAGTAAGCCGGGAGATGAGGTGTTGGGGCAAGGACTTTATTTGGAAAGCCAACAGACCAAGAAGAAGGCAGACTAATGTCCCGGAGAACCATCTTCCCCAAGTTAAAATTCAGGCTCCTTTTATACTAAAAGGGGAGACGGTGTGGTGGTTGCTGCAAACTTCCTGTTGTCAGGATGCTTTGTTCTTGCAGCCATCCATGTGGGGTAGGTCATGATGTCCCTGTAAACCTCCAACAAGACAAATGCTATTTTCAATTCTGCAACTTTTATCTCCAAATGAATGGATGTTACCCCCTTAAAGGTCAGAGCCTGGAGAATGGGCTCCCCTGTCTATTTCAGGCTCTAGGCGACATTCTTTTAAAAAAGGTACAGAACCAGCATGACTGAGGCCAGGAAACAGGGCACAGGACCAGAGCCAAAGGCACAGGTCTACTGTGGAGGTAGGTGTGTTCTCCTCTAGTACAAGAAGGAAACTATTGTGTAAATCAGATGACCTGTATGAGAGTGTCCTGCACACAGTAGGCAATTGATCTTCCTATTTGTTAATAATGTCTTGTTCTTATTTTCTGACAGGTCAACTTGCTTTTTTTAGAGAATGCCCCTCTACACAGACACAGGCCGTGTTCTGTAGGAAAAAGACCAGTAAACTCTCCTCTAGCTCTTCCAGAAGACCTGTATTTATTCCAACACAGTGGCCCCAAAGTCCCCAGTCCGGGTTTGGAGTGAATTCTGATGAGAGACACCAGCACGTGTTGCTGTTCCAGGTAACCCGTTGGAGATGATATTTTGCAGAGTCTCCCTTTTCCTTTTCTTGTTTGGTTTTAATAACAACAGCTGGGCTCTGAATCAGCTCCTTTCGCTCCTTCTAAAGTGGCTGGAATCTGGGGGGCGGGCGGGGTGAAAGATGCTTCTCCATCCCATTGATCAAAGATTCTTTTCCCTGAGAACTGGTTCACTCCCTATCTGGGCATTAATCAAATCCTCCCCTTTGCCTCAAGCACCAGAAGTGTTTTCCTTTCCTCCCTCAAGCTCTAAGTCCGATTCCATATTAGGAAAGTTGATGGAGTGGCTCTGTTGTGAGGGAGACCCCGAGGGGCTTTCATCTCCAAGACCACAAATTCCATCTCTCGTTTATCTGGCCCCTTGGAGCCCCTGCGCTGTGGGGTCAGAGTCAACACCTGAGAACTGGCATCAACCAGTCTTGCGTGTTTGTGAAGTGATGACCTACCAGGGACAGCCCCCTGTGGGACCTGACCCCTGAACACACATCCGGGATCCTTTTCCAAAGGACAACTCTTCACTTTCTTCGCTGTCCGCCACTCAGGCAGTTGTCTTCCGTGAATCATTTCGTCTTTTGCAATAAATTTTTTGGTCATCTATAATTCTTCTTGACTTGAAGCTCTAATTAGGAATCACTTCAGTCATATAAAATTTGTGTTTCATCAGAGTAGCATTAGGTAGCCAGCCCTGCACCCTGCGTAGCAAATGCCTTGTTCCCTGCCTGATGCTGGCTTCCTAATCATATTCTAATCGCCTGCATTTGGGCTCTTTCTGGCTTTGCCAGTCTTGTTCTGAGATTAGTCCTTCTAATGCACAGTGAATAAGTAAATAAATAGCTGGCATTTGCAAAACCAAAACACTGCACCGGCCCTTTAAGAAATGAAGAGAACTCAGCTTGGGAACCTGTTGCCTAGCAACGCAGTACTCACTTTCCCTCCATTTTCCAGACCCATCCCTAGCCTCCTGTCGGTTTGTCCACATTCCAATGCAAAACTTTCCCCTCCTTTTTAAAATTAGGAATGAATGTTTCAGAGAATTGACTTTAACCATACCACTTTTTTTCTGCATTTCCCAAGAATCCTCGTTCCCTTGTTCTCAGCAGGGCCCAGTTTGTTTTCCTCCCCTGATAAAAACTGTTCTTATCCTCAGATTAAGTACTGTGTCTAACAACAATCTGCCTATTTCTCATGAAAGGATACAGACTCAAATAAAAGTTTAACTGATTTTAATTCATAATCAAAACACCAGGCAATGAAAAGGCACTTTATACTTTGCAAAGTCCTTTTATGTCCACTAATCCATTTAATTCAAGTTTCTTTTTTTCCCATTTTATTGAAGTATAGTCGGTTTACAATGTTGTGTTAATTTCTGGTGTACAACACAGTGATTCAGTTTTTTATATACATATAAAATATAAATATATTTCTTTTCATAGTCTTTTGTGTTACAGGCCATTACAAGGTATTGAATATAGTTCCCTGTGCTGTACAGTAGGACCTTGTTCTTTATCTGTTTTATACATAGTTTATATCTGCAAATCCCAAACTCCCAATTTATCCCTTCCCACCCCCTTTTCCCATGATAACCATTAGTTTGTCTTTGATGTCTGTGAGTCTGTTTCTGTTTTCTAAGTAAGTTCATTTGTATCATTTTTTTTAGATTCCACATGTAAATGATATCATATAGTATTTGTCTTTCTCTTTCTAGCTTACTTCACTTAGTATGACAATCTCCAGGTCCATCCATACTGCTGCAAATAGCATTATTTTATTCTTTTTTATGGCTAAGTAGTATTCCATTGTATAAATATACCACAACTTCTTTATCCAGTCATCTGTTGATGGACATTTAGGTTGTTTCCATGTCTTTGCTATTGTAAATAGTGCTGCTGTGAACATTGGGGTGAATTGTCTTTTGAGTTAGAGTTCCCTCCAGATATATGCCCAGGCATGGGATTGCTGGATCATATGGTAAGTCTATTTTTAGTTTTTTGAGGAACCTTTATACTGTTTTCCATAATAGCTGCACCAAACTACATTCCCACCAGCAGTGTAGGAGGGCTCCCTTTTCTCCACACCCTCTCCAGCATTTATTGTTTGTGGACTTTTGAATGATGGCCATTCTGACTGCTGTGAGGTGATATTTCACTGTCGTTTTGATTTGCATTTCTCTGATAATTCACGACATTGAGCCTTTTTTCCTGTGCCTGGTGGCCATTTGTATGTCTTCACTGGAAATAATTCAACTTTCAGATGCTTACTGAACTTCTCTGGCTTATGACGCCATGCTCAGAAGATTTCTGAACTATGGTCAAGAGGTCCGGGCGGCTTCTGCCACCTGGCCTTCAGTTAGGAGGCAGGATTCGGTGACTGGGCTTTCATATGGTAATCCTGGCATTTCAGTCCTCAGTCTGGTCAGAAACCTAGAGGAAAATCAAAATAAAATCTTTCATCGGCTCCTTTTTCTCTCCCTCCCACACTGAGCTCCATTTGAGAGGGGACAAGCCGTGGTCCTGGATGACGGACTAGGGAGGAGCCCCGCTCCCCTCCCCACCCCAGCTCCTGGCCCTCTGGGTCTTCGACTGAAGCCACGTACGTCTCAGAGCCACGGGCACAGCAGCCAGGCTGACGAGTCACCTGTGCACACACTTATGTTGATGCCTTTTTCTGGCTATTCAGGGCCTTTGAATTTTTCTCCAGACAGACAGTAGAGAGGCTCTGACAAAGAATCTCCTTATATTTCAGGGTTGGATCGCTGTCAGCGCCGCGATGCACCTCGTCAGCTGGGTTTAGTGGTTCATGAGCCTTCATTTCCACACTGCTGCTTCTTTGCATCTCACTTCACACCAGCTCCTATTTGACTCCCAAATCGTGGGCTAGTGTTCAGGGTCGCCAGCTGCCAAGGGAGGGTGATTTCTAGTCTTTGTTAATTCAGTTAAGGGGGCAGTTTCCTGGGAGGTCAGCAAAATAAGCAGGCAAGTTTATTAAAACCACCCATGTCTCATCTCTTCAGTAAAAATACTCTAAAGGGCTTTGGTCTGCGCTTTCAGAGGTTGGAAACAGAGCTTCAGCACAACACTGTCTCAAAGCCGCCCGGAGAGTCAATGTAAAGATGTGAATAAATTAGATGAGGGAATTTTTCACTTCGGAGGGCTGTGTTTAGACATCAACACAATGTAAGAGAAACAAATGTGTCCTAAAATATCTAAATCCTTTGGCAGCTGTATTATTTGGTTATATGTTTTAGGATATGTGACTATGTATATTTTAAAGCTCTGAATATGTAATGTGTAAAAAAAAAAGAGAGAGAGAGAGAGAAGAAATATACTTAAATATTCATCCTGACATCCCACAATGCTTTCACTGACCAAGTTAACCTTAGCAGAAGTTATGCTTCCCTCGTTTCTTTTTTTTTTTCTTCATTCCTTCGCATCAGAAAAAGGACTTCACGAGACCCCTTCTCATCCTCAGCCCGCACTTCCCCGCAGCAGGAGGCTGGCCTAGTCATCGCCTCGGACTGGTCCAGGCAGCGGAGGGAAAGTGTGTGTGCGTCCACAGGGGACCCGCCCACACTCCGAGGGCACAGCATCCGCCAGGCTGTAGCTGGCGGGGTTCCAGCCCAAATGGAATACCACCCCCTATTTCAAAGCAGATTGGGAATTTCCAGGTGGCACCAGTGGAGCATTAACCAAGCCCAGGGCCTCCCTCAGCTCCAGCCCCACACACCTGACGCCCACCTCGCTCCCAGCAAAGGTACACACGCGCGCGCGCGCGCGCACACACACACACACACACACACACACACACACGGGCTGGAACACGCAGCCCAGGAGAGGGTCTCAGCGGGAACAGGCGAGAGAATTGCGGGGCTGCTGCCCTCCCTCCGTCTCATGTCCTGCTCTGTTAGTAGGAAAGGCAGTCTGGGTGTAGAGGGAGAGAAAGAACCGGACAAGAGCACCAGCCAGCGTCACACGTGTCGCGGGAAGGTCGTGCTGAACGCCTGCCATTGTATTCAGCTCCTGAAATGACGTTCTGAGGAAGGGGCAGCAACTTAACAGACGACAGAAGCTCAAAGAACTGAGCACCGTTTCCAACTTTTACAACTTACACGTGATGGAGGTTGAATTTACTCCATAGGTGAAAACAGATTTACCCTATGATCCAGCAGTCCCACTCCTGGGTATACATCTGGAAGAGACTCTAATTTGAAAAGATACATGCACCCCAATGTTCATAGCAGCACTATTTACAACAGCCAAGACATGGAGACAACCTAAATGTCCATCGACAGATGATTGGACAAAAGTTGGGATATGCATATATTCCATTGTGTGTGTGTGTCTGTGTATATACATAACTCAGCCATAAAAAGGAATGAAATAATGCCATTTGCAGCAACATGGATGGACCTGGAAGTTGTCATTCTAAGTGAAGTAAGCTGGAAAGAGAAAGAAAAATACCATATGGTATCTCTTATATATGAAATCTAAAAAAAAAAAGGACACAAATAAACACATATACAAAATGGAGACAGACATAGAAAAAAATTTATGTGGTTATGTGGGGGTAGGAGGTGGGAAGGGAAACATTGGAAGTTCAAGATTTGCAGATACTAACTACTATATGTAAAATAGATGAACAACAAGGTCCTATGTGAAGCTCAGGGAACTGTATTCAATACCTTGTAATAACCTATAATGAAAATAATGTGAAAGCAAATATATATACACACGCATACAACTGAACCACTATGCTGCACACCCGAAATTAACACAACACAGTAAATCGACAATACTTTAATTTAAGAAAAGTGATGGAGATTGGATTTGAATCCCAACCTGGCTTCCCCCAGAGCCTGTCCCCACTGTTGTCTTCTGTAGGTGCGGAAAAATCTCTTCTTAGCGTCCGTTCTGAGCACTAGAGACAAACCCATGCAGCTGAGTGAGAGAGGAGGACTGGCGAGTGGTAAGTGCGTGGACTGAACCAGCGCACCGCAGGCTCCCCTCAGGTCTGGGGGCTCACTTTGCTCCAGGGGCCCTGTGTCCTTGCTGCCTTCTAGTCCTCATCGCTTCACCCCAGTGCTCCCCGCACACCTTCCTCACAACACCCCATATCGTAGCTCTTTCCCAAACTTTCTTTCCATCAAAATGTCCCCATCCTTCACCCACCCCTGGTGGGGAGTGTTGCCTGCCAGGATAACTAATCAGGTCAACACACTCATGAGCCGGGACCTTAACTCGACCTCCCTAAAATGTAAATAACGTGTGAATGTCAAAGCTTTTTTATAGCAAGGTCATTTTGGTGAACTTTTTTCCTGAGGGATGCTTTTCTGAACCCCACAAATTATTCCTCCTCGTCAGATTAGGCCTCTGGTTCAACAGTGTCTTTATCCATAAAAAACAAAATAAATGATTTAGTTGCGATTATCGGGCTTATAGGCTAGGTTACAGGTTGTGGAAACCAGCCTTAGGTACCAGAGGACTCTCCTGGGGAAGAGCAATAAAACACTTCACGTCTGATCTGTAATATCCCGTGTTCCTGCTAGTCCTGCGGTGAACAAAACTGCCACTTCTGCCAAGTTTCATGGTCAGTGATTCTATGATATGGAAAAAAGGTCCAGTATGGATTAAAATGAAATCCTCACAGGCCCCACACTGACAACCTAGGACAGACTTGAACCATCTCTCCTAAAAGTACATTCATTACTCAAACCACTTCACCATGGAGTCCACAATGTAAAGCAGTATAAAAGAATCTGGGGGTGCATTTATATAAAGACGTGCACAGGATATGCAAATCCTCAGTATTGTTCTTCCTGGATACCATGTACTATCTCAGGGTTCCCTGATTTCAATATTCAAGTGTTCATTGTTGACAAGATAGAATTTATGCTGTTGGTTCCACTACAAGACACTATTACTGTATGAGACACTGTTGGACCTGCTCGATGCACACATTTCAATTTGAAAGGAAAAAAAACGTTTATATTTGGATTTGGAATATGATGTTACCCTGGAATTTAAACTTCATTGTGTCTTATATTCTAGGAAATGACTTCTAACAAAATAACCAAATCACACCTCATGAGGATCTGCTCCAAAACAATCGAGGAGTGTTTCCTGGTCTTGTTTCTTTTTTTTTTTTTAATTGTATTTTTACTGAAGTATAGTCAGTTTACAATGTTGTGTCAACTTCTGTTGTACAGCATAATTCTTCAGTCATACGTGAACATACATATATTCTTTTTCATATTCTTTTTCACCATAAATTACTATAAGATATTGAATATAGTTCCCTGTGCTATACAGCATGAACTTGTTATTTATCTGTTTTTTATATAGTAGTTAGTATCTGCAAATCTTGAACTCCCAATTTATCCCTTCCCACCCAATTCCCCCTCTGGTAACCATAAATTTGTTTTCTGTCTGTGAATCTGTTTCTGTTTTCTAAATAAGTTCATTTGTCTTTTTTTTTTTAGATTCCACATATAAGTGATATCATATGGCATTTTTCATTCTCTTTGTAGCTTACTTCACTTAGAATGACATTCTCCAGGTCTATCCATGTCACTGCAAAAGACATTATTTTATTCTTTTTATGGCTGAGTAGTATTCCATTGTATAAATATACTACAACTTTTTTACCCAGTCAACTGTCAGTGGACATTTAGGTTGCTTCCATGTCTTGGCTATTGTAAATAGTGCTGCTGTGAACATTGGAGTGCATGTATCTTTTTGAATTAAGGTTCCCTCTGGATATATGCCCAGGGATGGGATTGCTGGATCATATGGTAAGTCTATTTTTAGTTTTTTGGGGAATATCCATACTGGTTTCCATAATGTCTGCACCAAACTATAATCCCACCAGCAGTGTAGGAGGGTTCCCTTTCCTCCACACCCTCTCCAGTATTTATTGTTTGTGGACTTTTAAATGATGGCCATTCTGACTGGTGTGAGATGATACTTCACTATAGTTTTGATTTGCATTTCTCTGATAATTAGTGATAGTGAGCATTTTTTCATGTGCATATTGGCCATTTGTATGTCTTTACTAGAGAATTGCTTGTATAGGTCTTCTGCCCATTTTTGGATTGAGTTGTTTGTTTTTATGTTAGTAAGTTGTATGAGCTATTTATATATTCTGGAAATTAATCTCTTGTCAGTCTCATCTTTTGCAAATATTTTCTCCCATTCCATAGGTTGTCATTTTGTTTTGTTTATGGCTTCCTTTGCTGTGTAAAAGCTTATTAGTTTAATTACACTCTATTTGTTTACTTTTGCTTTCATTTCTACTGCCTGGGTAGACTGCCCTTGGAGAACATTGCTAAGATTTATATCAGAGAATGATTTGCCTATGTTTTCTTCTAGGAGATTTATCATGTCTTGTCTTATGTTTAAGTCTTTAAGCCGTTTTGAGTTTATTTTTGTGTATGGTGTGAGGGAGTGTTCTAACGTCACTGATTTACGTGCTGCTGTCCAGTTTTCCCAGCACCACTTGCTGAAGAGACTGCCTTCCTGGTCTTGTTCTGGATGCTTAGCCTCTGCAGTACTGGCCATGATGTGCCCTCTGTTGAAGTGCCTCTGTTCCTGACCTCCACGACACTGTATTATATATAATTAATTTTCCTCCCTTGGTGTCTTTCTCCTTTGTGATTCTTCTTCTGCTGCCTCATCCTCCAAAAGCCAGCCATGGTTCTTTCCTCATCTCTTCTCTCTCTTACCTGCAACTGATTCTCCAAGCTACTTGTCACAAAGTCACCTCATCTCCTTGGCTCCAGACCTTTAGCTCCAACTCTGGTCTCTCTACTGATTTAAAACCCTTCACTTCCAATAATCTGAGCAGCCTCTCTTCCTCATGAACTCAGGAAATCTGAAATGAAACTCCAAAGGTAGGCTAAGCTGTTTGTGCCTCTTATGGGAGACGTCTATCCTTAGGTTGCACGTTCCCTTTGCAAACTGATGTAGAGAAGATCTGAATGCTGGGCTCAGTGAATCAACAATGAGATTCTATAGTTTATTCCTCCCCCTCCCCCCACCACCCATTCCTCCTTTGGAAATTTTCTTTGTGTCCCAGACTCAAAATCACAGGGTCAGCATTATCTTGCTTTTCTTTTCCTTCCATATAAAATTGTCACTAAATTCTAGTGGTTCTCCTACTCAGCTCTGTTAGAGCTCCCCTCCTCTCCATGCTCATTACCCCCAAGTTCAAAGGGCAGCAAAATTAAGCTGACGAAACTTTTGTCTTTGTGCTGAATCTGGGATGACTCGAGAGCCAGAATCGCAGTAGCAATTTTCTCATCAGCAAGTGAAGATTCAGAGGAGAGAGTCTGACAGATAAGGGAGGAGGAGAAAGAATGAGGAATGAAAGCAGGAAGGAAGGTGAGCTCGCAGCCTCTCCTTGGTCCTCTGTCTTCAGAGAGGATGGAGGACTCACCACTGCTGGTGAGTCTGTGAAGTCTTCCAGCCCTGCAGAGAGTCTGCTTGGATAAATTTACTCCCACTCCCCACCCTCAAAATCCTCAGTGTCCATCTTTCCTCACCACCCCAGGCTTTCCGCACACTTAACCAGAGCCAACCTCCCTTCCCTCAAGAATGAAGAATGTCTTTCCTTGTACTTGGAAGCCTCAGAGTCTCCATCAGGTTCATTTTCACACAATCTCTGTCCAGAATCTTAATCTCATTCTTAGGACCTGCAACTGGCTTCCAGTCTCTAAAAACCTTTATCCACTATGTACACTGATACTGGGTTAATCTTCAGAGGACATTTATTTGTTTGTGTTCATTTCCTACTCAGAAAGGCTGTGACTTCCCTTCACTCATTAAATAGAGTCTGAAATCTTAAGCCTCACAGTTAAAGCCTCCAAAGTATCTGTAAGTTCTCTTCTCCAACAAACGTTCCACCTACTTACATTTCCCTCATGGTCCCTGACCACCAAGATATTTCACTCAGTCCAACTCTGCACCGTCCGCCTCTCTGGGTTGAAGACCTTCTGCCATTTCCAGTTATCAAGATTCTGTGCTTCTCAAAGACCCAACCAAATACGTCTTTACTGCCTAAGCTCCTCCCAGTTCCAATCAGAAGTACGCAGTCTCTTCCTGTCTGTGTATTTTCTGAGGCTGTGTATCAAGTGGATATGGTGTCTTGTGCCCAAAGGATTATAATCACCATATTTGCACTGTCATTTTGCTCAGAGCTCATCTCTTCCACCGGCTCACTTCCCGGAGGTCTGACTAACACTTCTTTGTGAACATCATTATATTAAATATAGTATCTCCTACGGAGGAGGCACTTGAAAAGTTTTCATCAGCTAACTAAATTAATGAATGAATAAATCTTCCCTAGCAACAGCCTTGCTAATAATAAACTTATCCTTTCTTAAACAGCTATAAATTTTGCTCTCAATAGTCCTTGAGGGAGGCAAGTAATTTGGTTTCAAAAGATTTCTGTACATAACAAAATAAAAATGAGATGTGGCCCACGCTTTAATTAATATTAGTTACTGTCAATGGTGAGTGCACAGTGTTTTTTGGTTTGGGGTTTTTTGCGGGGGGGGGGTGAGATCAGTACTTAGGTAGCATGGGGGAAAGCAAGGTTTTCCTCAGATAAATGAATCTACAAGTAGCTACAGGGTAGTTTCATGTGCAAGCTCCTAGCCCGTCGTTGCTAGATGCAAACTTCCCTGGTACAAAATTATTCTACGACCACTAGGTTTAAAATGCCAACTTAAGTCCAGACAAAACAATACATACAACAACACATGAAATATAAATGAGACAAGACCTCCACGATCATTTCTAATAAATGCTCATGTAAGATTTACTGTTTTCACTGTAGCATACTGATAAGGGAGGTCTTGCGAGCTGAGAAATGACTAGTTTCCTGTCTCCAAAGCAGGAAGCACAGCCATTGTGCTGACACCCATCTGAAAGATTTTATGAGATGCTGCTTGTGCTCTGTGAGTAAAGAGCCATCTGTCTGCCATCAGAGCAGCTCTGTTCAAATTGCCAGTGCGTCTCCACACGTCTAAGACCCAGAGGTCCAGGAGACCAGCGCGGTCACCTGAC